TATTTCCTTTAAACATCGATAAGTTATTATCTCTTGGTATTCCTACAATAATCTTCTAAATTCATTTCCCTTGACTGTACAATTGCCATCTTCTTATGTCTTCAAGCTTCAAAACAATTCCAACTCGATCTTGCATAGAAAAAAGAGGTCACTCGTCACTTTTTCTCCTACTATCACTTTCCGATCCTTCGGTTAAAAGTAAAGATTCCAATCTTGTGTTGTTGAAGCTTCAAAATTCCATCTTTCAAAAGTTTACAAGGTAATTTGGTGGATTTTATTCTCTTTTAATTAAATTAGTTTTGTTAAAAGATTGAGAGTTGTTGATTTTTGTTCTTGTTTATTTTGCCTTAAAGGTGATTTTAGGGGCTAAATTAGATTGATCTACTTTGTACTTTTGACTTAGTTGGTTGATATTTGTTAATTTGTTTTAAATTAGAAGGTAAGTGTGAGCAATCCTCAATAATGCACATGTTGAGATATCGTGATGATTTGACTTGTCTCGATGAGTTCTTATACTCTAGGGGTTATATTCTCAAAAGAAGGCCCAACATGGATATCGTCTCAAATAAAGGCATAAAGTGGTCAATTTAGTTTCGAATAACCAAAATTTTATTTCCAATTTTTTTCATTTAATTATAAAAATGTCAGTGAAGACGTAGGTGGTGCAAGTGTAGGAGGAGGTGGTGATTGGGGCAGTGGCGGGGACGGTGGTGGAGGAGATCTTAGTGGAGGTAGCGTGAGTGGAGTAAGTGTTGGAGGTAGGGGTGGAGGTGGTGGAGGAGACGTGGGTGGTGGTGGTGTTGGAGGAGGTGGCGGTGGAGGAGATGAGGGTGTTGGGAGTGTCGAAGGAGGTGGTGACTCGAGCAGTGGCAATGGCGATGGTGGAGGAGGCGTGGGTGACGGTGGCGGTGGAGGAGGTAGCGGAGGAGGTTGGCTGTGGCGGTGGCGGTGGCTTTGGTGTCTTTTTATTCACATATCTTCAATCAATTAAAAGTTTATGGACTATTAAAGTTGGGATTGCGTGAACTCCTGTCATGACTCGATTCTTTATCATGTAATTTCTGCCGCCACTCTTCAGCGATCTTGTTTGCATCCTAACATTACTTAATTAGGGAGTGCAAAGTTGGATAGAAAATTACTACTTTTAACACTATTGATCTTGATGATTAGTTAATTTACAGAAACTTAATTATCCATGTTATAGTAAGCAGAGTTGAGTTGTGTAAAAAGTAGATTATTTCTACCATTTTCTTTACACGATAAGGAAAGAGGTTCTTCGCATAAAATGTCACATGGTCCCTGCTGGAGTTGACGTGGAGAAAGAGATGAATCATCATTGTCCACTAGAATCTTTTTTGGTGATAGCCAACCAAAGCTCTCTCGTTCAAGTTCCCTTTGCTTTTCTCAATCTAATGTCCGAGTCTCCAAAGAATGCCAGGTGCATAAAAATGATTAATAAGAATATTACCTTTTAGGGAATTAAATTCCCTTGAGGTTACGGATGTGTTATACTGTGGATAGGGACGCCGCCGACATTCCCACGTGGTCAATGAAACCTTTCCGTCTCATCATGAATGGAAACGAAAAAGATTGACATGGAAAACAACAAATCCTTGTGATAGCTGCCCCGTGTAGACATGATCACGGGTCGGTTTTGGCCCGGAACTGGCCCGGGTCAAACCCCGGACTGGCTAGTTGACCGAGCTCGCAGTTCGGAACCGGAATCAGCCCGTGGCCTACGGGCCTGGTTCCGGTTCCAACAATTTTGGAACCGGGTTCCGGGCCCGGTTCCAAAAAAAAAAAACTGTAAATTTATTTTTTTCTCTCTTTTTTTCCCCAAATTTGATTACAATGTACATTTTGATTACATTTTATATTGAATAATTCATTATTTCATAATTTGATAATTCATTATTATTTTTATTTCATAATTTATTTTTTTAATTTTTACCGATCGGTTCCGAACTAAGCCGGAACCGGAACCAGCCCGAAACCGCCGGTTCATACATGCGTGTCGCAGGGGTGAGAGAGAGAGAGAGAGGGGCTTCTATAGCTAAAAGAAAATTATATGGGACCCTATCCTCTGTAGGAGATGCCTACCTCTAGTAATCTATCTCTAAGTGCTAATTTGTATAATTGATTGTTATGAAATCCAATTAATTTTGTGTGTCAATCATACAGTTTAGCACTTATAGTTAGATCACTAGAGTTAGGTATCTCCTATAAGGATAGGACCCCATATGATTACTAGAGTTAGGTATCTCTCTCTCTCAAATAGGATACCAATCTTGTTGAAATTGGCAACATTTGTTGAGCTGCCATCATATCATATACAATGAAGCGGAAAAGAGAATTGTGAAATAATAAACAATACATGAGCATATTTATAGGCTTTATTGATAAAGTAACAGAATATTACAATATCATTGACAATCAAACTTGATCAATTAAAGAAAACACAATCAAAAAAAGATAATGCATAATCCTAAGAGATATGCAAAATCAAAAAAGATGTATAGAATCTCCTAGATATATCTCTAACATTTTACTCAAACTCAAGATGACGTAAAAGATCTTGAAAACACTTGGATGGATGCGTCATAGTGAAGACATCAACATTTTGATCAATTTGGTTTGCTTTACCAACTAACCAAATTTTGTACACGTCCAGGTTCATTGTCGTCCAAGTACATTTTTTTCTTTATTTTTCTTTTTCTTTCTCTCTTTGTTTCATGGTTTTCTTTTCTATTCTTTCTTTTCTCTTTCTTCATCTTGTCTTGGTTGTCCCGCGCTTCGCCGTTGATCACCGGCCCGTTGTTGCACTGCCACCTTGCACGGCCAGAGGTTTCAAGCAAGCTCCGGCGGTACCTACCCCAGTCCAGACGCCCTTGCTTGTTGCCATCACTACGCCTGGTTTCTCTTTTGCAGGTTGCCTAACTCCCGTTCTAGCGTTATCAAGTCAAGCCGCGGCTCCCTCCTTTAAGGGTCTTTCCGTCAACCGCCACCAATTCGTGAGCATCTCCACTCTGGGTCAACGTCTTGTGACATAGCACACCCAAGCGCCATCGTCCACACTAATTCCCCATCTCGGTGTTCGCTCCATCGCCGATCCAAGAGTTCATCCCATGGCCACTGTTGATAGCCACGGCGTCCTCCTCAAGCCGGTTTCCCTTGTGACTTCACGACTCCATTGTTCGTACCATGTCTTTGGTCGCCTCCCTTGGGGCTTTGGTGATCAATTCAACAGAGTTCGAGAATCCGACACTTGAGAAACAGAGGGCTCGAGATCATTTGTTATTGCCTCAAAGTCCTTCTCGGCGCCTCACGCGCCGTCAAATTGCTATTTGAAGAAGCCTTTGCAACTAGCGAAGTACTGATCTAAGATAAAATTGAGAATCTTGAAAAGAGGACGACAGATTTTAGGACGGAAGAGGCCATAAAGATGCCGAGTGCTTCTTTTTTTGCTCCAAGTAGTGTTAGTAACTATACTATGGTGATTCGTATAAATGAAACTATTTCCATGTATTCGTGAGAGTTAGTGGACGGCCAATTATGAAATCAAGTATGACCGGAAGCTTAAAAAAAGAGAAATGATAGATATAAGAAAGAGAAAACTTGGAGAACGTTGGTAGGAATAGACGATCTGCAAAGAATAATTGAAAGTTTTTGACACTAGTGGACAAAATCGCTTTTGTTGTTGTTATTGTCGTATATGACGTGGCGTGCCATGATTCAAAAAGAAAATTGGTCGATAGGGGGCCACTTTGGGCCTCTCGAGCTTCATTGGCTAGCTTAAAGGGGCTAGCCCCGTAGATAGATATCAGCACATGAGACGAGAGAGCGACATACATTGACCAAAAAGAGAGCGCATGGCAATGAATCTCTTTTCGCCGATCAAGCGCCTCCATGGAGGAGCTGTTGGCGCCCGTGCCGGATGCACAGTGAGCTCCACCAGAACCTCCCTAATCCCCTAGCTGATTTGCATCGGAAATCCCCCATGCAGTTTCGAGTTTCATCCTCCTATGATCGTTCCCCGCTCTGACCTACGTGAGTTCTAAAGACCGTGCCCCAGTTCTCTCATTTACGTGCATGAATGAAATCCATAGCCTACTATGGAAAGAGAGTACTTCTCAAAGTGCCTGATGATTCTCGACCAGAGTGAGGTCCTTAGCAGCAGTTAATCAGTCGCGGTATGCTAGATTTCTTGGGAAGCCATGAAATAAGTTCACAACTTTACGAGTCATAAGTCATTTAAACGTGACTTTTCTTGTGCATTAGCAGCAAAAGGTTGTTTTCATAGTAATGGAAACAATTTGATGAAGTCCTGTTCACAACCTTCTTTTCCCCACTCAGATTGTGTAATAGGGAGATTATAACAACCAAAACTGGCTCCATCAAAGTCACATGAGTGAACAGCAGCAGAGCGGGGAACAATGACAACAGCAGCGACAACAAGATTTCACCCGGAAGAACATCAAAGAATTCAAATGAATTGTATTAGGTACATATATTTTAAAATTTGGTTAGAGAGGCCTCATTAAGTATAAAAAACTATCTTCGCAAAAACTCGTTCTTGAATCTTCCGTTACTTACGTATCTGGATAAAGCCACCCAGCTTAAAGGGCCATAAGCTATCGTTTCTAGCAAAGTGAAACTGCCCACCAAACACGGTCACGCAGCTTCCTCAACTAAAATGAACTTGGCCCTTTTACACTGTATATTTCTTTATTACATGAAACGACAAAGAAAGCATCACACCCCATTCATCTGATATCAAAATGGCAGAGAGATCCAAATTTCAACACTGCAACACGCGTGTAAGGAATTTGAAGCTCACAATCCTTGTCGACATCAATATGACAAAACAAGGCCGGCATTGAAACAGATCATCAGGAGAAAGAAAACCCACTTCCAACTGCAGTATAGATGGCAGTACCGTTCCAAACTTCTCACCTCTGTATAACATAAGAGCCTATAACATGCATTCCCAAACTATCAACCTTGAGTCACACGGCTCCATTGAAATCTCCTTAAATCCCGTATTATTCATGTATTCCCTTTTTATGCAATGATCCACATATTCATTTCCATGTGATGCTTCATTGCAAACGAAACGACAAAATCAAAGCTTCTTGGCTGCTAAAAGAATATGCAAGTCCTAGAAATCTATTTACAGTACAAAATCAAAGATTGAGTGAAAATCCACATATTTCCAGAAAGGTTGATTAATATCGTCACATACAATTGGAACAAGGCAAGCCATTTACAACGTGAACTCACCTACAATGCACGCTGTTCACATAATGATACATCTATCCTTTGATTTTGCATCAGCCCTGTTCGAAGATGATGGATTTCTCCCTCCATATCTTCCCACCTGTAAAGCACCATTAATGGCTGGTATAAGTTAAACGCCCAGGGGAAAAGCCTTAAATGAACACTACTTGATTGCATTACAAGTCATTCTCCTTCATTTACATGCAACTGTAAACTACATACAAAGACTAAAAATTCCTCAGAAGCAACTACACGTGTATTTTGCAAGTTTGTTTCTCAGCTATGCCATATCACAACCAATAGTCTAACTTCTATCACCTTCAAGAAATCATCCTGAAAGCAAAATATTATCACATATTAGTAGGAGAGGTCAAGGCAGAGAGCAACTCCACGAGATACCTTAAAGAATTGACCTAAATGAGAACTAGCAACTAGATTAAACAAGCAGCCCACTCCACCCTCACCCCCAACCCAACACCTCTGACAATAAGTTGCTCTTTCATATTTAGCTAATATGGAAGGACCATCCATAACATAAGAAGTTTGAGCTCATCCTTAAATTCGACGAATTCTTGAACATGACAAGCCCCCCTGCCAACTTTCGAACCCCTGACTTCGGTTTTAAGAGTGAGCGCCAGGGACGGATCTAGAAGTTTCTCTTAGGGGGAACAAGATTTGATCATTTAGGAATTTAATGATCGACCGCTCGTACACTTAAAAGTACCAAAAAAAAAGAAAATAATATATAACCTTTGTTTGTCTATAACATCTACGCTTTCAAAATTCTTGAATTGTTTGTTTTACCAATTTGTGGGGGCAAATTAAAATGGGAAATATTTACTTTTCACATAGCTGTATATATCTGAGAAATTTAATGGGTGCACGAGTTGTTTGTAGGCCAAAAGTAATTTAGTAATAGTTTAAAAACCTTAGCATATTCCAAAGTTTTAACAAAATGAGTAAGGGCAAGAGCCGCCGCTACGCTAATGCTAAGTCAGTCCCCGGTGAGTTCTCAAAGCCATCGGGCTAGAGGAAAGTTGACCTTGAAGATGACAGGCAAAGTTCGAGAAAATTGTCCAAAAAGTCATAAACCTATTGTACTTTTGCCAATTCAGTCCTAAACCTTTTAAGTTTGTTAATTAAGTCCTAAACATTTATACTTCTTGCCAATTGAGTCCTAAACCTTTACATTTCTTGCCAATTGAGTCCATCCGGTCAATTTTAGTCGAAAATCGCTGACGTGGACGCCGGCTGGCCACGTGGCGCTGATGTGAACACTTTTAAATAATATTTTAATAATTTTCAGAAATTTTTATGGTTTTTTTTTCCTTTTCTGTGTTTTTTATGGGTGTTTTGGAGTTGGCAGGCGAGGGTCGGCCTACCCTCGCCTGCGGCCGGCAAGGGTCTGCTGGCCACCCCGCCGGCCAACTCTAAAAAAAAAATTAACAAAGAAAAGGAAAAAAAAAGAAGAAGAAAAAAACCATAAAAATTCAAAAAATTATTAAAATATTATTAAAAAATGTCCACGTCAGCGCCATGTAGCCGGCCAGCGTCCACGTCAGCGATTTCCAGTCAAAATTGGCCGGATGGACTCAATTAGCAAGAAGTGTAAATATTTAGGACTCAATTGGCAAAAGTGGGGGGAAGAACAGCAGAAGTGCCAAAAGTTGTGTACGGAGCTCACTTTGGTGCCAAAAGTTTCATTTGGATCATTTAAGTGCCAAAATTTTTTAAAAGTGAGCTCCAAAGTGAATCAAATGGAACTTTTGGCACCAAAGTGAGCTCCATACACAACTTTTGACACTTCTGCTGTTCTTCCCCCGGCAAAAGTGCAATAGGTTTATGACTTTTTAGATAATTTTCCCAGCAAAGTTCCATGTTCTACATCTAACTTCTACGATTCAACAAATGTGTACTTCCTTTTATAATCTGCATGCGTAACATATTTGGAGAACAACGAGAATGGAGTTCTTTAAGGTGGTACACAGAAAACTTGGCTTGGGCGACTTTTGCAAGCAACAATTCAATATGAACCGATAAACTAATGACCTCAAGTAAAGACACTGCTTAAAGCAGGGACTGCCAACAGCGCATTATGTTATGGCCTATGACACAAAAAAGTACTTATATCTCTAATTAGAACTTCATATTAGGGGTGATCCATTCCACGTGGGTAGGACTTATTCTGTTATAACCGGTTCCCAGTTTCTAATACCTAAACTTACTCTATTTTTCCTAGAACCGATCCTGGAACCTTCAATGTTTTTCCAGTCCGATTCAAAGTCTACCAAGACCTGTTTTTCATTTGTTCCTTTTTTTGGTTTCATTTTTTACAGCAAAATAATATGAGTAATAAAATGATTCAAAGCAAAAGATGAACAACAAAAATCCCTTATTCGCCAAAAGCAACAATCCATAAGATGAACACATAGTCACGTACAATCATAAACGATAAAATGTTCAAAACACGTAACATAACACATAAATTATGAAACTTCATTCCTCATTCATCCATAAAAATATAGCTCCAAATTCTAACCACCTGAAAACAAAACAAACAACATAGTTAATCACTTAACCATAGTTTTAAGTGAGAGCTCGTTGAGACCGAGCAAGGGTTGCGAGGCTCGAATGAGCCATGGCGAGCCGCAAGTGAGCAAGGAGGAGAGAGAGAGAGAGAGAGAGAGAGAGAGAGAGAGAGAGAGAGAGAGAGAGAGAGAGAGAGAGAGAGAGAGAAATTAGGGTTTTTAGACTTTGTAAAACCGGTACGGTCGGTCCGGCTCCTGGGTGGTTCTTCACTTGAGACCGCAAACCGGACCAGTTTCCACAAGGAAACCAGATCGGCTTTTAGGGCGGTCTAGTCCGATTCCCAGGTAGAACCGGTCCAGTTGCACAACCCAACTTTATACCAAAAGCATCTAATAAGATTACTCAAATAAGACATGGAAACAAGATGTTCAGCAAACCTGGGACCAGAGATCAGCCTTAAACCACCAATTGACTGTGGTTAGACATTATTGCGTTGTGGTGGTTGTTGCTTTCGCTCTTCTTGCTCCAGAGCCATTGCCAGTTGAAGGTCAAGACTACAACATAGAAGTGTTTGCACTCTTAGCAAAAGGCTCAAGTAGTCAAAAGGTATTTAATTCAGGGACAAGTGCACCGGAAATCCTAAAACTTATCGTGAGATTTACATTTGAATTCTAAAACTTTTAAAAAGTGCAATCTAATCCTAAAACTTGTCGTAAAAGTGCATTCGAATATTCTAAAACTTTCAAAAAGTGTAATCAAATCCTATAATTTGTCATGAAAATGCAATCGAATCCTAAAACTTTCAAATAGTGTAGTCAAGGGAATGACTTGATTGGATCGATTAGATAAGTTTTAGGACCCAATTGCACTTTCGTGACAAGTCAAGTTTTAGGATTTTCAATACATTTTATCCCTTTAATTTATGTGGGGTGAAGTGAAAGGGGCATTAATGGACAAGAAACACTCAAACTGAAGAGACATGTCCACGACTCCAAGTAGTTCAAAAAGCCTAGCCAATTATCAACAGAGTGTTACAATTGCGCAGAGAGTATGAGAATGCTTTTCCAAAGAAATAAACGATTCCTTTACATGGCGTGGTGCAAATAACAAGACCACTGATGCCACTTGGCAAAATCCAGTAAGACTGTTAATATTGCTCGACCTAGTCTTAATCCATCTGAACTATAAAACCATAAGAATCCAATTAAGTTAGGAGTTTTTACTCATTCAAGTCTGCATGGGTTGCATTGTCGACGCTGGCAACATAGTCCTGCAGCACATGAGGGTAATACTGGTTGAAGGTTATGGCGAAATTCAGAGCACATAAGATAAAAATAGATACACACATCTGTGCTGGCCATGGCGTTATGCTCATCCCATGTATCATTTGTATGACTTACCATCTTATATTCCTCAAAATTGCTGGACACGTACACGTTGTCCCTATTGACCTGAAAACGCAGTGCTAGTGCTTAAAAGAAACATCAATGCAAACCATCCACATAGGAAAAAGCAACAGAATCAGTTAAGCCTAAAAATATATATAATAATAATACGGTATGATTAAATGATCATCTTTAAAATTAACTTATTTGCCTGAAAGACTAACAGTAACAAACTGTCGTATAACACGACAACAAAGAAGGCATGTGAGGTCAAGTAATGATTGTTGGGAGAGTAGGGGGAAATACTTCAAGCTTCAAAAGTGGAAAATAGAGTTCCAAGGGGAAGTCCATCCGACAACCCATAAGTGGGATAGGTAAACTCGAAAAGGTACTCTATTCAGCTTCCTAAAAACTTGGATAGCACCCTCGTTCAGTTTGGATCTGGATATGAGAATATCAGAACATGTCCATGGGTGAACCGAATCAAGTAAGAAATGCAATACTTGTAGGGAAAATCAAACTTTGGAAAAAGAGAGAAATTACAAAAAAAAATTCCATCATGTTTGGCAGCTGTGGCATAATTTACGACTGTAATTCTCATCAATCAAATTGTATTTCTTGTTCATAACATATATTTGCACCATTCAACGTGCACAGTTGTGCGTAAAAAGAGAGAAAATCCCAATACTTGAAATAAGTCCATTTCTCTTAACCACGTGAGGTTACAGACGTTAAGTAGAACTAGAAAACTGGTCATGTTGGGAACAAATTTCACCTTGGTTTCAAAATCATTGAGTTCACAACCAAATTTGGCAGTTACCACCACCATAAGAATAGGTTATGCACTGATTAAATGACCTTACCTTTTTCTATGACCAGATTAAATGGCCTTAGCTACGTCTTGGATTCACTAAAGAAATCCAAATAAAAACACTCGCCAGAAAAACCACAATCCCGAAAAAACAGCTTCAGTTTCGAGCAGGGAAAAGGATGAAATCAGAACAAACTGATGAAAGTTCTCTTCGTCAATGACAATGGAAACACGCTTCTTACCTTTTCTAATTTCTCCCACACATGATCAGGCTGATCTAGGAAACCTTCGTCTGTAGCTAACAGATATAGTTGACCTTCATACTGGAAATGACACGAAAATTAATTAAAATGAGATTTCTTCTCTCATCTTGCACAAACAGATGCAATGTCCAACGGTTCGCAGTAACAATAAAAACATACAAGAGATACAAAACGAAGCCCATGACTGACCTTAAACATGGTACTGAGATGTTTGTTATCAAAGAACGCACAGAGCTCTCGCTCTTTAACATCACGTTGCAGACAAGAAAGGCTGCGTTGTTCATAAGGAATTATTATGGAGGATAGAATATTCATACACATACCCATGAGATGGCCAACAGATAATTGATAGAAAAAAAATGGAGGATAGCAAATCCATACACATACCCATAATTGGTCAACTGACCGGCGCTGCTCCCCAAGAATTTCTGCACTAATTTCCCTAAGAGCAAATTTGACAAAAAGAGATACAGCATCATGACAAAGTTGATAGTAAACTGAATGTCCAGTTGATTACCAAATCTCTTACTCTGTTGTGGGATATTTAGTTCTCGTGCAACAAGCTCACGCGTAAGGGCATTATATGACTTGGATCCGATTGCCATTGCAATATCACGATCCTAAGAAAGATGTAGATAGAAGGATATAAAGGCATAGGCAGAATTAGCATAAGTTGACAGGAGGGAGGAGACAAAGAACTAAAACTAGGGGGAATTTACTCGAACTCTAGATTCCAGTAAAGGAAGTACAGACTTCTTTTGCCTGCCTATGCAACGGACTAAGTACCAAAACAGAGCAAGATCATAGACGATACTTCTATCCCAAGAAGAATTTAAATGCAATGAAATGAGACTGGCAGACATTTGATCATGGAGCAAACCACAGCGGTTTCCCCATGTAATCATTAAGCAACCTAAAGTTGGTTTTCAAATAAATCAATAATCCGAATCAGCAGAAGTTAAACGTCATCCTAGATAGAAACTGCTCGTAATCCAAATAAAAATCCTCTAAAGACAGATAGTTTCCACCGTTGATACTGAAACCCACGCATATGCCGGCGCATCTGTTAACCATTTTGATAATAGACGGCAAATGAGGACAAACACTTTCATCCAGATGAAGCAGACGAGTTACTTGAGAATTTACTCCTAAAAAAGTCACGAGGCAATTGGCACAAAAGCACAGAAACCGGAAAGTTAAAGCACCTGGGGATCAACAATGCAGCCATGATAGAGTGAAATGTCCAGCAGATCAAAGATTGCACATTCTCCGGTGGGTACAAAGTCACGTATCCTGCAATTAAGAGAATATATCTATTCAAGGCCTATGAAAGCATAACGATTCTGGCTACAACTTGAATACTGGTCATTAAGTCAATTCAACCTCCTGAACTTTATATCGACATCAATGCCAGTGGCAAGACGTGGCAGCAGTTCAAATGCGTCCGCCATGTTGTGTCGTAGATTTTCAACATAGCCAGCATCCCTATTCTGCAACATTTCCAAAGAGGGGAAAAGAAACGAAACGAAGATTAATATCTATCATAACCAGAGAAACACTCCACACTTCCAGGGGACAAGAAAGGGCCATTACAGTATTATTGCTGTTGGAATCAATCAGTCGTTGGGTCACCAAAGACAGCAATGTTTCTTGAGAAACCTCAGCTGTACTCAACTTCAGCATGTTCCGCAACAGAAGAATATTACCTGCATATGATCCCATTTAAGAACATTCCTCGAGTCACCGTCACCCACGAATAAACTCTTTACATACAACGGACGCACCCACCAAAATGCATGAGCTAAGAGTAACTTGTATTATGATGAAGTAAACGTGAACGACGCCAAATTCCCCTCGTCATTTTCTCTACACCAGACGAAGTCATAGTCCATGATTGCCACGGTTAACATTGCAACAACGAAAAACAGAAGCTAGGCAAATACTAGCCGCGAACCACCAAGCAATCGAAGGACATAAACATCGATCGGAAGCCAGAGAACGGCAAAAACCAAGAGACCCGCAAATAAAGAGGACGAGAGAGACAGAGAGAGACAGAGAAGGGGAGAGAAGAGGAGATGTTTACAAATGGCAAAGAGAGGACAAGGGCCGTTTTTGTCCTGGAGGATGATTTGCGTGGAGCGACCGAGGAACTGGATGAGCTTCGTCTTGAACACTCGTCCTTCCCTCGCACGCGAAGCAGCAGTAGGAATCGACATGGCGACGTTGAGGACTGGCGCTTCTCGCGAAGAAGAAGACGACGACTGGGTTGGAACGGGAACGGGAACGGGAACGGGAACGAGGAGGGAGCTAGGACAGTAGTTGTTACACCCCGAAACCTATCAGGATGGAGGATGACACGGCCGTCCTTCCAACCGAAGGACGCAGCCTCAAACTATAAGGAAACCAACTCTCAAAAGTCCCCACGACATCGCAATCGTTCTATTGGCTACTAGCCAAGGAACCTGAAAGATTAGGGAAAGAGAGGGGTAAGCAACCACAGCTCAGTAAGTAGTGCATATCTCTTAAGCAGATCGAGCAATCACTATGCATGTATGCGTAAAGTTTTACCAGAATTTCAGAAGTCAATACATATCGAATCACATAAGAGTTGTTTCATTTCAACAAGACTTTATACAATTCAGAAAATATTCATTTAAATCATCATAAATATCAATGGTCAAGTCCATTGATCAATCTTTATTAAAAACCACATCAATGGTCCATTCCACTGACTAATCTCAAATCACATATCAATGGTCTATTCCATTGATGAATCTCATATCACATCACATATCGATGGTCCATTCCATCGATCAATCTATTGCTCAATATCAAACCATGGTCACGACACAAAGCTTTGTGACAAGGCTACCAAGATTCCCCCTTGGCAAAGTCTTCACCTACAAAGCCGGTGGCTCGGTCCAAAAGGATATCCTAAACCCGGTATGCATACCCCCAAACCCCTCAATGGGTTCACAGTCATATTGAGTATCAAACAATCATCATCAAATATTAGAAATCCAATCCAGAATACAATCTCATAAACCAAACAATTAACTTTCTCACAACACGGCTCATCTGCCAGAAATACATTTCGTAGAGCATTTCTTGAATCATTTCCGAACTCATTTCATAAACTAGTTCGTAACGCAATACACATATGTATCATTTTTGTAAAGTATTTCTCAAATCATTCGAGAACTCGTTTCTCAAACCATAATGCATTTCACATACCCATTTCAAATCAATATATATATCTCGTTTTGCAACACAATTCCCAAAGCATATCTTAAATCATTTACAAATACCAAAATGTAGTAAATGCCCGATTCATACTTTTATGTAATAAATATATTCTTTCACAATTCATTATATATCGAGTCTCTTTCGCTTTCAAGACATGAATTTAGAATTTCATAGAAGAGATAGCACCACTCACCAAGGAATGCCCAAAAATCAAACAACGCTTACTCGAACCGACGATCTCGTAATCCTATCAATTAAACGAGAATCGACGTTAATACCAAGTAAAACACTATTTCACTAACAACTCGACTAAACCAAGCTTAGACGCTAACCAAAAAGACTCAAACGCGCTCACAAATCGCTCACCCAAAGCGAATAGTTAAAGCCATCTGCAATGCGGAGCTTGAACGCGAAATTTGGTTGCGCCATAACTCTCTTCACGAAACTTCGTTCCAAGCAAGCTTATAGTCAATAGAAAGCCCATTCAAAGGACTACAGGAACGCCAACTTGGCCGTCTTAAAATCGAGCCGAAAACCGACGAAAATAGGCCTAAAAACCGCTGGTCGCGCACTGTTCACTACGCGCGCTCAACTTTAAAAATTCGTTTCGGGCAAATCATAAGTCTAAATCGAGTTCCGTAAAATCTCACGGCTCCACGACATCCCAAACTACCATTTCTATATATATTCATAGCTCAACGACTCAAAAATCGGACTTCGCCGCTCGAATATCACATAACTCCGAAATATGAGCCCTAACTCGAAAAACTTTTCAGATTGGATGAACGAGAGGCGCAAACACTTACCAAACGTTGCGATACGAAGTCGAATCGGCTTGATGAGGCGTCCGTGGCGATTACATGCAAAATCCCTACTCTTTCTCTTTTCCTTTTTCCTTTTCTTTCCTCTTTTTTTTCTTTCCTTCTTTTCCTTCCTTCCCGAAAGCTCTCGATCCCCCTTTTATAAACTAAAGCTCACTGTAGCTTCTTTATTGACTTTTCAACCCCTTTTCTATTTTATTTTTAAATACCAAAATATTACAGTAGTCATTGAGCCGGGCGACATGGAGGATTTATAGTGGGAAAGGGAGGGAAGGAAGGAGAGTGAGGGAACGAGAGCGGTTTTGTCTCACCTTATCTATGGTGGGAGCAGGTAGGAGATTGGCCGGTGACTTTCTAGAAAGGATCCTCAAGGTCGCCGGAAAATTTTCAATTATTAAAAGTTGACGATCCGCCGACTGCATTTGCATCTTTGGAGAAGGCTTCCTTTCATATTATCAACCGCTTTGTTTTGTTGCTGGATTATCAACCCACGAGTTAAAAAGTAGACATGAATTTGGGCAGAGTGAACTAGGGGTGTGTAAAGAAATCGGGTACCATCTCGAAACTGGATCTGACCGATCTAGAACCGGCGGTTCCCAGGAAGATCGGTTCGGTTTCTAATTCCACGCCCAACTGAACTTATATATATTGAAAATTCTAGTTCGTAAAAACATTTTTGCCATTTACCTTACAATCCTACTCACGTCTCGCGGGGAGAGAGTGGTGAAGATGGTACGGGCGGTGGTGGAGTCGACGCTGGAGTCTCACTTCTTCGATGGAGGCATTTTGGTGGTGATGGACGAGCTCTTCAAGAGATATGCAGAGATGGCGGACGATCACCGTTCCGAGAGTAGGGCCAAGAACATTTTGGTTGTTGTTTCTTTGACGAGGAGGGAGGCACCTCAGTCACTTTAAGTTTGGTCCATTAAATTAAGGAGGCGACACGACTGGTCCAACCCAACTTTGAATAAGAGAATCTATCTCGCTAGTGTAAACATGATATTTTATACAAGCCACCTTAACTACCTTTGATTTAAGGATTATAACGACTCATTATCTAAAAAAAATCCATGGTGTATAAAGCCGCTAGTACAAACTTTCTTTTGTATTAATGGTGTGGAATGTAATTACTCATGCTTTCTTTTGTTTTCCAAACCAAATTAGCTAGAGATAGTTTAGTTTTGCGTCAAATCGAACCACGCCGAACAGTGCACTTCCATGGGACCAGCGGTCAAGTTCCACTCGAATGGATCCATGGAACCAACAGGCGGTTCCCAGTTCCTATTTTTCAAAATCAGTTCCTAGTGGGCAACTCCCGGTTTCGGGCATGGAATTGTCCACCAGGACCATCCTTAGTCAAGTACCATTTTCTGGACTTTCACCCATTTGGTTTTGCTGAGAATGATTGGTTATCGGAAAACTATTTATGGCTAAATAGAGATTCGTCGTCATCTCGCGGAGCTAGAAACTTTAATTAATCTACCCACGAACTCGGAGAGAATTCAAAAGCATCGTTGAGGCTCGTCCTATCAAATCGTATCGATCTTGTATCAAGAAATATCGAAAATTGGATTAGCTTGACGAGCCGCGCAAAAAGGAATTATGGTTGATTTTGTCGGTTGTGATCGACTAGTATGATATATTATCTTCAGTTTAGGCGATGGGAAGTAAATTTCATTTGAGTGGGAGACCGATGAGAGGTGGAAGAAGATTGGAGGGAGAGAGAGCTCAGCTCAAAAGGCACGAGGGACCACAAACTCAAAGCAGCCACTTTGAACTTTTCGGGTGGTGAGGCATAGGCCATCGAGAGAGAGAGAGAGTCTAACACTGTTGAAATCCGGTTCCAAAGCCATTCGCCGTATATATTCCAACACATGCAGTCTTCGTTCACTTATCGATTTAAGTTTTTTGGCTTGACTTTTTAATATGGTATTAGAGCCAAGTTTGTCAAATTATATGTGACATGTTTGGTAATAATTTTTACGATATACCGTTTAAGTATTATTTAGCTTCAAGTTTTGGAAGGTACGTGTGGAATCTCATGTCGGTCATTAATTTTGTGAGGTAGAAGGTGCGAAAGATGATTTTCCACGACTGTAATTGCCTAGAGTTTAATGCGTTTAGATTACATTAATAGATGTTAACATGTACGTTAATGGTGTAGAATGACGGTTACTACCATATTCTTCGAATTACGAATTTGATAATATTCAAGTTTCAAATTTATTGGGTTGAGATTTCCCTAGTGTCCAATATCTTTCATTAACAACTTTAGTGGGTTCAAAATATTTTTTGGACCTATCAGTGTTTAGGACGGAAAACTAATTTCCTTGTTTACGCAATGATTTATTATATCTTGGTAACTTAACAAAATACCTACTTTGGAACCACATAGTTGAGCCATTCATCTCTTTCTAATTTGATAACTCTTCTCTCAATTTCAACCAAATATTTTTAACCTCAAGCCATCATTACTTTTAACCTTGGTTATTTACTCTTACCTCTTGGTAACTCTTGGTTATCTAAATTTATCCCCTTGGCCATATAATTGGATTGAACCATATTATTATGTCACTTGTAACTTTCTAACTTGAGCACATCCCTTGCAATCTCCGCCTAACATTTTTTAACCTCAAGTAATTATTTCCTTTAAACACCAATAAGTTATTATCTCTTGGTATTCCTACAATAATCTTCTTAATTCATTTCCCTTGGCTGTATAATTGCCATCTTCTTATGTCTTCAAGTTTCAAAAGAATTCCAACTCGTTCTTGCATAGAAAAAAGAGATCACTTGTCACTTTTTCTCCTACTATCACTTTTCGATCCTTCGGTTAAAAGTAAAGATTCCAATCTTGTGTTGTTAAAGCTTCAAAATTCCATCTTTCAAGAGTTTACAAGGTGATTTAGTGGACTTTATTCTCTTTTAATTAAAACAGTTTTGTTAAAAGATCGAGAGTTGTTGATTTTTGTTCTTGTTTATTTTGCCTTAAAGGTGATTTTAGGGGCTAAGTTAGATTGATCTACTTAGTACTTTTGACTTAGATGGTTGATATTTGTTAATATGTTTTGAATTAGAAGGTAATTGTGACCAATCCTCAATAATGCACGTGTTGAGATGTCGTGATGATTTGACTTGTCTTGATGAGTTCTTACACTCTAGGGGTTATATTATCAAAAGAATGCCCAACATGGATATCGTCTCAAATATAGGCATAAA